GTGGAGGTCGATGCGAGTGGTTCTCACGCGCCGAGGCAGAAGGGGATGCAGTACAGAGGAGTGAGGAGGAGGCCATGGGGGAAATTCGCGGCGGAGATTAGGGATCCGAAGAAGAACGGAGCTAGGGTTTGGCTGGGGACTTACGAGTCGCCGGAGGATGCGGCGGTGGCTTATGATAGAGCGGCGTTTCAGCTTAAGGGTTCGAAAGCTAAGCTAAATTTTCCACATTTGATTGGTTCTTGTAAGTATGAGCCTGTTAGGATTAGACCTCGCCGTCGGTCGCCGGAACCGTCTGTTTCCGATCATTTATCGCCGGAGAAGAAGAGTGAGTCTTCTGGGTTTGTTGTTACGGGTTTGGATTTCACGGTGGATCAGTTTTTCTCCGATGATGGTAGTGGTTTAGTGATGGATCAATCGGCATTGTAGTTCGTATTCTGTGCTAAAATTAATATTGTGATTGTGTGAGTTCGAATTTGGTTTATTGATTGATGCACGAAAAGATTAAGAGCTTTTGATATTTGGTTTCTATGTGTTGGAAAAAATTCAAAAGGGACGTTCTTTTGTTTTTTTACTCTATAAAATTCGATTCTTTAGTAACCTTTTGTGTAACCATCTTGAGACATTTATATTATAGTTTACAGTAAAAAGTAAAAAAAAGAGGCATTTAGGGTGAAATTAACGACAAAAAAAAAGGGTGAAATTAAGTTGTATAGACACGAAAATATATCAACGTCAAATTTTTAAATGCATGCCTGACTGATATTGAATCAGTGTTCATATTAACCAAAAGATTGTAATGCAAATAATAATATTGCTTGAATTAAGCATAGGTAATATTGGTTAATAAAGTATTGATTTTTCAATCTAATTGCAGTTATATATGCACTATGCAGTTTGATTAAGGCTGCGAATGTTTCGGGCGGTTAGGGCGGTTAGGGGTGTTGGACAATTTATTGTCACTATTCATAAGTATTTCTTTTGTGTGTTTCAATGTTTTTATTTAAAAAATAAAAAAATAAAAAGCAAGTGCGGGAAGAATTTATGAAGAGAACGTACAAATCTACAATAAGCTGTGTTTCACATGCGGTTCAAGTGCGTTCCATTTTTTTTTTTTTTGGAATTAAAAAAATCTGCAAATTTTTATGTTGTTATATTTTGTCAATTTAAACACTTAATATTAAAATTATTTATTTTTGAAAAATTTAAAATGTTACAAAAATTTAATTAAAATTTAATAATTATAATATTCATCCCGCACTTATTATCGTCACCATTCAAACATTATT